AGCGACTGCAGATGCAGCCGGGACACACGGCTTAACGTGCCTTCCGAAGCACGAAGGAACTCGAGTTAGACAATTTTTGGTCACCCATCCAATGACCGACCACTGCGCGAGTTGCTTAACTTTAACGATCGCTGCCGAACGTGCTAACCACCTACGCCATAAATAAGAAATAATAAAGTGTTGGTGTAGCAAATCAATATTAAAAGAAATCAAGACTATTCAGTGTAGTCTTCACTAGGCTGTATGTAATCAGTAAGGCTATTCTGTAAACGAATATATTGACCAAAAAATAGCTTAGGTAAATAAACATGACATAAACCCATAATATTAATATAAACAAAGCTATTTTTACATTTAAATTTTACTATTAATTTATAAACAATATTAATAAGTATTAATTTTGTATAAAATATTAAATTGTAATAATAATCTCTATATCTATAAATTTTCCGTGCCCTTACAGGGCTCTTGTTTGTAACCTAACCATACTTGTAACACCTATGTATACAACAAGATGAAATAAATGAATGTGCACTAAACGCTCATTGTCTATAGGAAAAATGACAATTCTTTGTAATAAGCTAAAGCTTTATTTTGTACGGGCAACTGCATTTTATTTCTTTCTATGTTTTAAGTGAAATTAACTAACAATATTAACTAAAAATTTGTTATCGTTTTAATAACAAAATGATTAATGGTAGACTTCTTACAAGACGACTTTCGGTACTACTGACTTACTGATTTCTAATAGCATTTTGTTAGTTATTCTGTGAGGAGTAAATTGATTTGTTTTATTTCTGCCGTTAATTGTGAGATTTTAAAATGTAAGTAAAACAATCCTGTGATAAAATCTATATAACAAAAAAAAAATGTTACCTACATCTTAACTCAAGTTTTTTTTTACATTTTATCTTATTCGTATTTTATCTTAAGAAAATATTACTAGAAAAATTCCACGTGGACCAGGCAGCAGACGAGACTCAAACCCACTTGGATTTTTTCAAGTAATATTTTCTTTGGATTTTAACATCGAGCAGTTACATGCTTACAAAATAAAAAAAATAACTATCAATTTTATCTTTCATCAATTAATGTATAACATTAGCTAAAACTTACTACTAACAACATATTTGAATACACATAGGAATATAATTTGTGTTTCATCAGCTATATATTTTATATTATTAATGTGACATATCGAATTCTCTAAAAAAATGAATTAATTGATGTTTCTTTTATTTGTTAAAAATGATAGGAATAACAGTTTTCCTAGTATTTGTAACAATTAACAATGTTTGGTAGGCATGTAACCAAAAAATATTTTTCCTATTATGAATATATTTTTGATTATTTTATTTATATTTTTAGACATTTAACCGCTAGATGTTTAAATCTAAAGAAAATTTTACTAGAAATAAATGCACTTGGTCCAAGTTTACGAGGTATTTAATTTTTATTTTTTTTTAATTATTCAACACTCATTTAACCAATATTTTTAATCAAATAAATGAAAATGAATAGGTTCTATAAGTTTCGATTTTATACTCTTAACTGGTGATACACCTTATCACCGATGTGTGGTCAAATAAGATTTAATTGACATAACCGGGAATCAAACATTAAAATGTGAATTGCTATAAAATCGTTTCCAGTCACATTAGTACAATCAACAAAGTCTGTTCAACAAAATCATAAAGTTTCTTTGAGGAGCTCGATGGCGCCAATGGTTAGTGCGTTCGGTTGCGGTCGTTAAAGTTGAGCAACTTTCGCAGTGGTAGGTCATTGGATGGGTGACCAAAAATTTACTATCTCGAGCTCCTCCGTGCTTCGGAAGGCACGTTAAGCCGTTCGTCCCGGCTGCATCTGCAGTCGTTAGCACCCACCAACCCGCACTGGGCCCGCGTGGTGGGTCATGGCCCAATCTCCCTAATCCATCCATAGGGAAGGCCTGTGCCCCAGCAGTGGGGACATTAATAGGCTGATGATGATGATGATGAAACAAATTTAATATCCATTGTATTTAGTTTACTTTGGGGAGACACCTACCCCCATTAATAAACAGAGAATAAGCTTGGACTAGTTATTCCATGTTTTGTCTCTTTCCGTTGAATGACAAACGGTATTTGAGTGATATGAATAAAACACGGCGTAAATAGTCACAGCTTATTCCTTATTTATTAATAACGAGGTTTAAGTATGAAGTAGGTAAAGAGTGTTAGATCATAAGGGGATTTATCGCTCGTATAAGAGCGCCCGTCTGGGTATGCAATCTCCAGTTTAGCACACGAGACTGCAGTGAAATGACACTGTTGTTGTTGCTGTTAGTGGGTAAGGTTTCCAGATCTACATGGGGTAAGGAGGTGAAATTGGAGTAAGGGACGAACAAGAAATACTCTGTTATTGCAAGCCTTTATAGGCTAATATGGCTGACTGCTTATCACAAGGTTGACCATATTTTTTCAAGAGAGGTAGGGCATAGCGGATTTTCCGCTGTAATTGGAGAGCCCGTGTAAGTAACCTCCACATTACAGAAGAGCACAGTAAAATAAAACTACCTTTTGGTAGTGTATTTCTGCCGGTGAGTAAGGTAAGGGCTCGATGGGGTAAGGCATAGCGAATTATTTTCAGCTGTAATTGGAGCGCCTGTTTGGGGAATTAACCTTTACCTTACAGAAGAGCACAGTAAAATAACACTACCTTTTGGTAGTGTATTTCTGACGGTGAGTAAGGTAAGGGCTCCATGGGGTAAGGAATTGGGTCAGGGTAGGAAATGGTGCGAGTAATATTTTTGGTATCGTAGCGTCTAAGTTTAGTCTATGGTGGCCGCTTATCATCCGGCGGGCTATACGCATATTTGTCATCCTTTTAACATAAAAAAATGAGTGTGCTTATGACGACTCGAGTGAAACTTCTTTAGCTTGTATATATATATATACATGTATGTGAGTAAGAAAATTTGCGCGCGCACTGCTTTCCCTTGCTTATATCCCTCACTCAACTCCCGTTCGCCTCGCCCGAACACACTTTTCGTAACGCGTAAAGCTTTCGCCAGCTTACCCCCCCAGTCAAGAGTGCGTAAAGAAGTTTCACTTCAAAAATAATAAATGCTTGTTTGCCCATTATCAAAAAAAGGCTTTCACAGTAATAATGACAACGTAAGTTCTATAAAAGCATACAAGGACTGGTTATGAAATGTTAAGCCTATTAACTAACCAATGTAGACAATGTGTTCTTGCCTCTGTGAGATATAGCACTGAGGATATTTGAATAATTAGTTTTAATATAAAAAAAACATTTTTCTCACTTGAGATAGAATTATTATTAATTAGTTTTGTTTCAAAGTATGGATTTCATTTAGCTTAGAGGAAGTTGAATATTTTTGACCGTGAACACAAGATACTAAAGTTTAATTTATGGAAAATCTGTAATTAGCCTTACTATTGGTTTATACTGTATTTAAAAACTTTTGTGAAAGCCGTTGATTTTCAAATAAACAAGTGATTTTTTTTGGCAGAAAATAAATTTTTACTAAAATAAAAAATAAAGTTTTTAAATTTACTTCTGTTTTCCTACACACGTAAATTTACAATGTAATAGTTTATTTATTTATTTATACTACAAACTCTAAGTAAACTTTTACGTTTCGAATTTGCCAGTATATAGGTATTTAAAAAAGTATTAGGTAAGTATTCATAATTATTTTCCTAAATCAGCATAGCTTATCCTACTAATTTCTTTTTATCTTCCGTTGATTTTTCCATGCGTTAATTTCAGTTAATGCTACGAAGAACTCAAATAATTTTAAGGATAATTATACAGTCTTTTTCTAATAAAACTTTTTGCAACGTGCCAATTTTCTTGAGTATGTCTAAATATATTTGTAGAGTCATGTAGAGCTTTATTAATCAAGTCAATATTTACCTGCATTTGCGACTCCGCTTCATCGTACATTATAGTTTCTCATTAGAAAAAACCTAACACATACATTATCCAAAACATGCTTTTTAAATGTACCGTCATGCTCAAGGTTTAATTTCCACACCACCACAAAATTCGCCATTAAATTGTTAATTTTTCATTCTCATACACCTCACTTACCTAATTATCAATTTTTTATTTATCTCCAATTTTTAAAACACCTTTTATTTTTTATTGTAACGCCCCTTTTTTAAAACACAATTTAAAAAAGCACACCACTGTCAGTCACTGTTCTTAATTCAAAATTTGAATATTCAAACGTTCTACAAAGAGGTTTTGTCGAATTCCGGTTTTGAAATTTACGTATCGTACATAAAGAGCGCGAGGGAAATTAAAAAAAAATATCGGTAAACAATTGGACAACTAACAAAGCTGCGCTTCGTAGCTATCCGAAGCTGTACTGAAATTCTAAACCCTGACTTCGGTGTCCATATCGCGCACCCCCCATTACTAAATTTCGTGTGATTACCAAAACGACTTAACTCCAGATGGATTCGAAACGATTGAAACTTTGTTAGCGTCGTCACAAGTGCGACGTTCGGTTGTCTTTTGTTGGAACAACAAACCTTTTTGGAAGAAGGGTGAACGCTACAAGGCTATGAGAACGTATAATTTAAAGACGGAGTTGCGAGCCCAACCGAGTGACTATAGCTGTCCTTTTCATTCGAACCGCGACCGCTCCGCAGCTTTTCGTCGTATTGCTCATTTTTTCGCTATCCCGTGTTATGTTACGTATTATTTTGTGAATTAGATTCAGTTGCGGTGTCAAATTTTCGCTTAGTACCTGACAAGCAGGATGCTTCTGGAAGCAGGTTGTTTGGAATTACTTTAAATTATCTTTGTTTTATCAAATAAACCTATTTTTGTGTTTGAGTTCTCTATTGATGATACGTTGTTTGATGTTTCTCTTCTAAAGTTTAACTGTTAGAAAAACTTATTAAATTCGGATATAAATTAGCCAAACAAGGATTATTTACAAATATGTCAGTATTTAATAAACGTAAAACATTAAACACTTATGTCGATTATTTCCATTTGTTCTTTGGTACAGTGAAGCACTGTATCTTGAAATGACGACACATTTGACGCACCTGAAAAGAAATAGTTATTATTATAGTTTTTAATAAAATAACTTTTATCTTATTAAAATAACAATCAACAGGCATCCAGTCGTAGTTGATTTTTCGATTGTGATTATAAAGTGTGTATTACATTTTTATTTTTTTTAAGTATTTAACTGATATATTTAAATCTTAAGTAAATCTAAAGAAAAGTTTACTAGAAAAAATTCTTTGCAGACCAGGCAGCAGACGGGACTCGAACCAGCACCCTTCGCTATCTGGGCGAATGAACTAACCATTATACTACCGCGACTCTAATAGCCGCGTCGAATTCTCTCTAGTGTTTCTTAAGCTGCAAGGCAGCGCTATCTCTTCGCATTGTAGGTAACCCACAATGTCAAATAAAAACCCTTACAAGTATTAAGCATTTGAAAGAAGAAATGTCAATTATAGTTACATTTTTTTAACTATTTAACTGCTAGATGTTTAAATCTAAAGAAAAGTTTACTAGAAAAAAATCCTCGTGGTCCAGCTAGCAGACGGGTATATGTTATAAAATTTACCCGTCTGGTGCCTGTTGGATATATTTTATAACAGTTTTCATATAATACTAGTATAAAATGTAGTCTCACAATCAAGCAAGTAACAGTGCTAAATATAATATTTGCTCTCGATAAGAATGAATTTTGAGGTTTGAATTGACATGACATTTTAATGACAGAAAACCTATCCGGTTTGAATCCAATACCCATTTTATTTACCAGAAAAGGCATAAAAAGATAGTTACCACGCAAACTCCATAGTGTATATGAGCGGCCAAACTCAAAACGAATATGATATACAGGACGGCTATCTCCAGGTGCGGTAGGTAGAGTGAGACAGATACACCTGCGAGTAGAGGCCAGCACATCCAGGTGATTACGTCACAACGCTGCTTGCTCATTTCTGCCACTATGAGGCGGCACTGTGAAAGATATAGAACTTTTGTTTTTACCTACAAAGCACAATAAGGTATTTGATGATAAGTGTATGTGGAGTTTAGTAGCAAATATTGATGATGTGACAGAAAATTGTGTCCCGCACAGTGCCAAATCCCTCACTCCTTAGTGTTTCAGGACATTGCAATATAATCGTAAAATGTCAAGTTCATAGATTATTAGATAGTAAAGAGAAACGGAACAGCATTTTGTAAAAGCTGTGGACTTTGGTTTAAAAAAAGGTGGTTTTGCCTTTATTGTATGTTCATTTACTTACAACAAAATAGAAACAGTATTTTTTATTTCAACGAGTTCTAAGCAACGATATCTACTTAATGAAATAGGTCTGAAAGTTGTTTTTAATGCCCTCATAACTTTTTAAAAAAATCTGTCACTTTATACAACTTTGAGTGAAAAAGCTATGGCTAAAGTTGTGAGTATTTTTTTACTTCATTATTAAATACCATTTCGAATACGGGGAAAATGCCTGTATAGTTATGTAGCTCCAATGACAAAAAAGTTAGGGAGAAATGATGACGGAACTATAAACACCAAGATCTATGGCGATACAGAAAAAACTAAACTTTGTTCATAGAGAAGTTGTAAGCCCTAAAAGCTAAAACAATAAGATGATGATGTGAGTACTCTGATCGTGATAATATTGAATACTGAAAAAGGCCCTATGAAGGCTTTCGAGACGTATTCCAGATGTATTCGGGGATTTGAACACCCATACCTACCAGGATAGCAGCGTTCATGAGAAGGATTGACCATACCGGACGTACGATGTCTACCAGTGACTTATTCCACTACGCATTGTCCATCTTGCTGGATCGCTGTACGCGTAACAGAGACGGGGATATAGGATAGGTGTTTGCTGTTTATGAGGAGCTTGAAGGCCGCAGATGGTTAGAGCGATCGGCTGCGATCGTTGAAGTTAAGCCACTTTCGCAGTGGTCGGTCATTGGATGGGTGATCAAAAATCTTCTATCTCGAGTTCCTTCGTGCTTCGGAAGACACGTTAAGCCGTTGATTCCGTCTGTGTCTGCAGTCGTTAGCTCCCGCCAATCCGCACTGGGCCCGTGTATTGGGTCGTGACCCAATCTCCCTATTCCATCCATAGGGAAGGCCTGTGCCCCAGCAGTGGGGACATTGATAGGATGATGATGATGATTTACGTGTATGGTGCTGTCCCATTTACTGGATCCAGCAAGATAGATAGTGCGTAGAGGACTTTATTCAGGTAAATTTGATCATAATGAAGTTCCGAGTCCTAAAAGATGAGATGATATTATAATGATGATAAAAATCTTGAAGTCTTACGGAGATATTGCTGAAGAAGGTGCCATATACCAGGATGAAGGCTTTCGGGTCGTATTCGAGGATATTGTTCGGTGATTTGATCACCCATACCAGTATAGCAGCGTTCATGAGGAGCATTGACCACACCGGACGAACCATGCCTATCACTGACTTGTTCAGGATAGTGCGATTTCTTTTTGCTCTATAAAAAATATGGCCAGGAATCAAGAATGTTTAGTAAGATGTACTTGAGAAGCATGCGATTGTAAAAGTTAAGCAACTTTCACAATGGTAGGGCATTGGATGGATGACCAAAAACTTATTAACTCGAGCTCCTCTGTGCTTCGGAAAGCATGTGAAGCCGTTGGTTCTGGCTGCATTTGCAGTCGTTAGCAACTACACTGGGCCAGCGTGGTGGGTCACGGCCAAATCTCCCTATTCCATTCATAGGGAAGGCCTGTGCCCCTGCAGTAGTGGGACATTAATGAAAAAGACTTGGTTGCGCAGTGATTAGCAGTCTCTGATTTAAAGATTGTCTTCACTGCAGGAGTTCACTTACACTGACATCAGGTGCAGTGATTTGATGCTAGCTGCGTCTTGTATGCAAACCATATTATGATCACCATTTTGCTTCTAAAAATTTGCTGCCACTTTAATACTTCTAACAGTTTTTATATATGAATTGAATTCCCTGTTCATCAACGAAATGATGTATAACTTGCTGCTGTCCATGGATAAACTGATTGCGAAGAAAAGTTAATAGCTAGTGTGTTTCATGTTTTCTTTCACTAGCAACATAGTATGAGAGTGGTGTCGAATCTGACATGATTCTCTAAACTTAAATTTGTCAGCAGTGTATCCTTGTCATTCTCTTTACAACAGAAAAGAAAAGACTGATGTTAAATTAATTTTCAGTTTAGTGACTCATGCCAGAATCTACACTAGTATGCTTTTATTTAATATGCAATTAATACATAATCGAATATAAGAAAGAACGGGTTACTTACATATAAATATTATAGATAGTTATAGGCAATGTAGTGAAGAGTCCAGTGGCATGAACCACTATCTCTAGTAGATTTACGAACTTGTAACCGAATAGATACGTATGGTATACCCGAGGCCCGTACAAACCTGGCATCAGGAATAGGAGTGACGATACCTGTAAGTGATTTACAGTAATTAGTCATTCGAAAACGTAACGAAAAGCTCTACTTTGACTATGGGTTTGCTTGTGTTAGCGAAGGTAACTGTGGCGAAGTCATCGGATCCAAAATTTTTAGCACCAGGTTCCTACGTGCTTCGGAAGGCACGTGAAGCAATAGGGGTGATGTAAACGAAATTCCATTTAGTCCGTCAGTTTCAAAAAATAATGGACACGAATTTTTTCTTCGGACAATCAACCAAAAAATGACAAAGTTATAGCGCGTCAAAGTTTGGGAGTGGCTGGAGGAGCTCGTGACGTCACTTTTAAGTGAAAATTGTACCAAAACGTGACGTCATGCGACTTTTCAAATCAATATATCTCTGCAATGTTTATATTATGTGAAAAAAAAATTACGTGTCCAATACTTTTTGACAATCTATCTGATAAACGAAGAAAAATAGTCATCATCCCTATTGTACGTAAGTCTTTAGCACACACACACGACCATAGATTTTTGTGATTCTACTCTCTCACATTCATACATTCATTTTCATGCTACACACAGAGAGGTCACCCGCACAATTGTTTACTATTTGGGATACTAGCTGTGCCTTGCGGTGTTACCCGCGTTTAATTAGGGATATTTTCCCGCAGTAAAACGTAGCCTATGTGTTAATCCAGGTTGTCAGCTAACTCCATACCAAATTTTAATAAATATCGCTACAGCCGTTTAGACGTGAAGAAGTAACAAACATACACACTCACAAACTTTCGCCTTTATAATATTAGTGTGATCAGAATAAAGATTATTAACTACCGAACAATCTTAAAGTTTGTTTATAGTATACCTAATAATTAATCTGTTAACATATATGTAAATACTTGTTTAATTGTTATCAGTTTTTGAGAACGAAACTGAGAATAAGATCGTAATATTTATCGGTGTGTCTGAGGATAGCGGCGCTGGATACAAAAATACAGGTTTTTACCTAGTTCGGTGACATATGCTCTATAATTAACATTAATGTTGCTGTGTTATTGTTATATGTATATTGATAATTTACTAGTGTACTTCTATAACTTTTTTATTAAAATAAATTATTATTATAGTTGCCCTACCTATCGGCTATTTTCTTGCTCAAGAAACGTACAATAGATACATTCCGTGTAAACAAAAGAGAGGAATATATTAATTTTTGATCGCTGACAGTGCCCGGCGAGAACTTGCTCCACTAGTTTGTCGCTGACCGACAAGAGCTATCTAAGATAATACTCGCTCAACGATGCTGGCTTGGCTGACAGAACGCGCACGTGCATTTTTGCTCAGAACTGCCTCCACGAAGAAACATGAACTTGTCCCGAGGCGAGGCGATTACGTTACGATTTCGATTAGTGTGCGTTCCAGCAGGGAGTTTCATACAAAGAATACTGTACCCCTAGTACGAACCATTATCGAATTCGTAAGTGCGAAATGTTATTGGAATATGTACTGATTTTTAGTTCCCGTTACGTCCGTTATGGTGCTGCTGTTGAAGTTTCCATACAAAATTTGACAATGACATGTCGGACTCGCAAACTATTCGAATTCGATACGGTTCGTGCTAAAGGTACTGAGCGGTTCGAGTTGATACGGTGAGGATCTCTTTCTGAGTTGCTATTTCTTCTAAGACCATAATACGTGAGTGATACTGTTCGGTGTCATAAAAGCGTCTGTAGGTTATGTCAGTCAATTACCGTTAGACCAATCATACTCTGGGTCTCCATTCATTTTACATAAGTCATATATATATAAATAATTCCCTTACCCACATGCTGATGTCATATCCCCAAGGTAGGTACAGGGTGCCAGTGTTGTATTTTTCGCAATGGCTGACGTAGAAATTTAGCGAAACACTCATTACCAATAGGAAACCACTGTAATAAAAGTGATGAGAATTAAATCATGATACCAACATGGGTGTAGAAATGGAAAATATAAAAAAATATTTTATGATTAAATAATGAAAAATTTGTAGGATTTTTTTCAGTTTTTACTGAAAAACATTAAGTATTTATTTTTAAATAGATATTTGGTACAAAGGAATTTCATATTAAATCCAGCTTCGTCGTGATTCGGAAGGTAAGTATATGAAGCTCAAGTATATCAATTATGTTTATGATCAAACCGTTGTTTCCGGTTGCTTTTGCAGTGTTTATTTTATCCCAGTGTCTCTGTGTAGGCTTACCATATTCCCTAAGATTTTTTTTTTATACGAGGCGCAACATTTTGGTCGCAATGACAGATGACGCGGCAGAAAGTGTGCCGCTCTAGGCATTCTCACCTTGCCGGTCTGAACCCAAACCTTTCTGTTACACTTAGGGTATCTATTTAGGAATTTCAGAAGTCCTGACAAAATTCCTGATATTTCGAAAAAAGTCCGGACTTTTTAGCCACAAAATGGTACTATTACGCACTTAGTTGCAATGGTATGGTATTTAAATCAATATGCTCTTATCTAATACTAGTTTAAAACAAAAAAAATACTATACTTGACTAACAATGAACCTAAAACTAAAAACATTAAAAAAATAAAATATAATAACTAAAAGACATTATTAAAAGGAGTCCCTTCAGGCAAGGTTTCGAAGATACTTGCAGCGTTCCCCCTTTGGATAGCTAGACTAATTCTTTGTCCGAGGTAGCTGCCAGCTCTTCGGTCTCCTGTGATGTCGACTAATCTTTATTGCATCATATAGTTAAAACATATAGTCAAATATATATATGTAGTAAGCAAACCTTATAGCAGGACAAAATCATATTCGGAGCCTAGACCCCTGTATTTGCATGCCTTAGCTTTTTCAGCCGCTTCACAAGCCGCACTAGCTCTGTTGTTGGTTCCATGTAGATGGGAAGGGGCCAGCGTGTCTGAACAGGTTGCATCCCATACTAGCACCCGACCCATCTTCCATGGAATCAAACTCATACCGTCCGGTCTCTTGCCATCGTCTCTTGCAATACCAGTTGGCTCAAGTAGACTTGGCACGTTGACGGTGGCAAGAGACCGTCGTATGATATCGTTAAGTGCGGCGTGCCTCGAGAAGCGGCCTGCACTTTTTTGGCAAGACAGTCCGTGATGTCCTAGCTTGTCGACATCACTGCCACAGGGACATGTATGAGGAGCGCAGACCGGAACCCCAAATCGTAGACAGGTTGCCATTCGGAGTGTGACTGGCTCAAGAAATGTTCCTGTATTTGAAGAGGGGTACGCGTGAAGCCAGTAGCCCACCTCATGCGCACCCACGACCTAAGTTAATTTGCAATTTATGTCGTCCCAGCTCCTCTGTAAATTTGGAGAAACTGGAAAATTTTGACCTGGGCATGCAATTAAAAAAGCGTTTCTAGCTTCTTCCAAGCCAGCAATCTCAAACTTTGAAGGGGATGCCCTTAAAGTTTTACTCGTGAGATTTGCTGAATTATGGACAGAAGATAGGAAGGCTGGTAAAGCGACACTGTAAATTTTGCTCTTATATTATGCATATTCAATGTAATTTAAAGAATCCGAACAATTTAAAGATCCGGACAAAGTCCGGACTATAGTCTAGAAGTCCGGACATGTTCGGACTAACTAATGAATTTCTTCTAGTATTTCTTAGGCTGTAAAGCAGAGCCATCTCTTCGCATAGTAGGTAACTCACAATGACAAAATCGAGGGTGCGGGTTCGAGTCCCGTCTGCTGCCTGGACCTCGTGAAATTTATTCTAGTAAAATTTATTATTTATTTATTAAAAGTGTTGATGCCTACCGAAACACGCTGATGGTATACCCATGATCCCTTCCAAAGACCGTCACTAGGGCGTATGGTATGAAGAACACCACATATGAGTCCAAGCCGTGGTCGAACATCTCCCCAAGTGGCCCTGAAAGTCCTATGCGACGGGCTTGCTTGCCATCCATACCATCTGAACAGACAAACGATCATAATTAGTCAGAAAACTCGCTAAGAATTCGAAACCTTCAAAGAAAGAGCGTACTCCTTACTAAAGGGCGGCATCGCATTTGTGATACTCCTGGTGTTGCAGGTGTCTGGTTGGAAATTTTAATTTATTTGTAATGAAACTAACCTCTTAAATAATTAGTCCAGGCAACGAAAAGGTATAGAGGGAAATGCTTAGAACACAATTTTTGACTTCGTAACTTTGTTAGGACTAGTTAGGAGGTAAACATATCAAAAGTCCCCGCCCGTAGCCCTTAAGCCGGGGGGAAGGGGGGGGGGGACTGAGTCTCATGTCGCTAGGATGCATAGTTTCCGAGATATATGCGAAAAACCTAAAAATGGCACCTTCAATCCCCCCCCTACCCCCCGGCTTAAGGGCTACGGGCGGGGACTTTTGATATGTTTACCTCCTAACTAGTCCTAACAAAGTTACGAAGTCAAAAATTGTGTTCCAAGCATTTCCCTCTATACCTGTTTTTGAGCATTCGTTGCCTGGACTAAATGGTATTATAACACGTAATTAAGTATCAATCATTTATGTAGTTTTTCCTGATTGCACAAAAGTTTCTCCATTGGAAGACAAACAGAAAAAAAACCTGTAATCGATGCATTCTGGAAGAGGTAAGGGTGAAAAATATACTATTATTTTGCATTAAAAAGCTAATGAAGCCGGGAACTCCCAAGGCTATCGTATGTTGCAAATACATATTTTTAACATATTTTTTACACCTTCCAAAATGCATAGAATACGGAATATTTTTCTATAGGTAAACAATTTTTGATGAATTTTTAAAACTACTGGGATTCGTCAGTTTCAGAAAATGTGTTTTGAAGGTGTGTGGTAGCTCAGTGATGAGAGCAGTCGCTTTGAAAACACAAAGCCGCAGTTCCCCATTATCCAGAGTCACCGAGACTAAGTTCTTAACTAAGCATTTTTCTTGATACGTTCAAGCAAATATGTATAAGAAATCAATGACTTTCATCCAAGCTTATACTAACCTAAGTTATAAGATACAAAGATGAATACAGCACAAGCCGTAAACACCCAATCGGGTACCACTTGTACGGTGGCACGTAACGGGCCATAGCAGCCGTAGTCGTAAATTCCAAGCAGCACCACCGCTGCAACCATCAACAGGAACCCAGCGAACGTGAGGAGGTTAGGAGCTATCCATTTTGGTAGAAGCTGTGAAAGTACAGTTACATCGCACAGTCAAATCGAATGCAAAAACTGCGAGTCGGACTCGCCCTCCGAGAGTTCCGTATAAAGTTTTAGGTACGCAAACGCAAAATAAACGGACTGACAACAAAGTGATCCTAAAAGGGTTCGATTTTCCTTCTGAGGTAAGGAGCCGTCTAAATGAATAAAGAATTGAGGTAATTAATTCTCTTTGTCTTAGGCCCGTATTATAGAAAGATTCTCAGTGATTGATCTAGTCTTGAGCATAGTCAGAAACATATCTTTCTATAATACGGGCCTTAGACAAAGAGAATTAATTACCTGCAATTCTTTATTCAATTATACGGCTCCTTACCTCAGAAGGAAAAACGAACCCTTTTGGGATCACATATATAGCACATAGCGACATCCCTTTCTAACTGTACCCAAGTACAAATCAACACTTAGTTTTCATTCTGTAATACGGGCCTAAGGCCCGTATTATAGAAAGATTCTCAGTAATGAATCTAGTGTTGACGGGCCTAAGGCCCGTATTATAGAAAGATTCTCAGTAATGAATCTAGTGTTGACGGGCCTAAGGCCCGTATTATAGAAAGATTCTCAGTACCTAATGAATCTAGTGTTGAGCATAAATAGAAAGGGATGTCGCTATATGTAGCACATAGCGCCATCCTTTTCTAACTGTACTCAAGTCTCCAGTCTCAAAAGGAAAAACAGAACCCTTATAGGGTATATTTGTTGTCCGTTCGTTTATGTTGCGTACCTACAAATTTGTACGGTACCCACGGCGGGCGAGTTCGACTCGCTGTCTAAACTGTATTCTGCATTAAAAAAAATTTACTACTAAAGTAAGATGCCAATCCCAACTGAGCTCATTCCTTTCCATCGTCCATTTATGAATATGAAGTTACATAGTAGTGTCCATATTAATGGTGCAAATAAAACAATGCGATTGTGCATTCGGTACAACGATATTATATCGTTGATTCGGTACAAGGGTGCAAAGGCGCGGTAAAAGTTCAGAAAAGAGCACTATCACAAAGTTCTTAAAGGTTGTGTAACAAATTTTCACCAACGTTTCGGAACTTGTTTATGTTGATGTTTTTGTTGATAAGTGTTGTATGTATACCTTAACACTGACGTTCCAAAGAGGGTGCATCACATAATTACTCAGGGGACTGGTGTCTATTGCACTATACTGCAAACAAAATAAAAAAGATTAATCTTTTATCGCCGAAATGTATGATTATACGCATAACTTTGGAATGACTACATCGAAATTATTTCTTTGTTGTATGCTATATTGTTAAGAAGCATAAATAACCCAATTATTATATGATTTTTCTCTGTGATGCTTTTTGCGTAGGTACTTAAATAACTTTTGTGATTTTATTAATTATTTATAAAAAAGATCCTTTTAAGTGATTAGTGTAATTAAGGTCACATTACAGTTTTTATTGTACAACCATGTAATTTTAACATGTTCCAGTGCATGTCTTGTAAACTGTCCATAAATATATAAATAAAATTCAAGGATTTGTTTGTATAAAAACAATTTATAAAATCTAACAGCTTTTTTGAATCTCGTAATATGAACATTGAGTAAGTGAATTAGCCCGATGACTGTGATACATCTTCAATATGTTGACAAAACATTGTCGGCATTAGTTATAAAAGTCTTTCAAATTTATAGAAAATTTTCACGAAAAAAATAAGGCAATACGAATTTCGCCGGGTTAGATAGCTATTAATAAAAGTTATGATAAGATTTAAAGAAGTGTAGTTATTTTTATATTTACCTTGTAAGTGTCAAAACCTTTGAGATGTTTTTTGCTCAGGTATTTGTAGTTAAAGAACATCTCCATTGTTTAATTCTTTATGAATTACTTTTTATAGACGCAGTAATCATACTTAACCATACTTTAACACCTTTGAGATACAGTTTTTATTCGTAAATCGGACTTGTTTACACAGTACAGAAATAAAATATTGATAGTTGCATAACATGTGCTACTTTACTCGCGGGACCAGTTAACTGTTTAAATTATCGGAATTTACCTTTTGTAAGTAGTAAGCAAAGACGATTAGATAATGGTTTACAGATAAATTAACATGAATGTGTGTTGATATGTTCTTATTTTATTAAAAAATATGAATGCACAGCCATTCATATGGTTTTGGTTAACATTTGATTCGGAATTTAACAAAACACGAGTTTTTGAATAGGTTTTCAAATTCTGGGCATTATTCAGATTGTAATTAAAAAAAAAAAGTTTTTACTAATGGTAAAGTTGATTAATTTTTATTAATATTGTTTGCCAATCGCAAAAAAAACAAAAGGTGTCTTCGAAAAAAAAAATATACCAGGCAGACATAACGCCGCAAGAGTATCAATAAGATCGATACGACACCTGTGCGTTACCATGACGACGGCCGGAGGGCGCCATCCGACACGGGCGCGTAATTTGAAATTCGAACCGCGCCGATAATGTCTGTTGCCGTCCGCCGCCATTTCCGAACGAATTACACGTAATTTTGTGTGGGGATTGTCTTTTGTAATTAAAGCCCGTCTGATTTATTGGCAAACAAATTTAGAATTGAACGGATAATAGTAGAACATTTTAAATGAATGTTTAAACAGAAAAAATATAAGTACATTGTATTGGACCGAAGAAATAAGCTGAAGTATATGGAAGTATAGTTCTGATTTCAATTGCGTTTTCTGAATTGGGGTCTCCTATTCCATCAGAGACAGTTTCCTCTTTTAAATACACTATCTTTGTTTCCAGTTATTTTTATACCTATTTATTTCTCATTGCATCCTACTTCCTACTAATATTATAAATGTGAAAGTTTGGATGTTTCTTACTCAAACACGCAAAAATTACTAAACGGATTTGGAAAACATTTGGTTAGCATATAGTTTATGACCTGCATCGAGACAGGATATTTTTTTACTCGGAGAAATGATTCTCAAAAAGCTAAAGTTCATGCGGAAGAAGTCGCGGGCGGCTGCTAGTATTAGTTTAAACAAAAAGGGAGAAAGGCTAAAAAAACTACTAGTACATCCTTTCATTTTCAAGTGTCTACTAGGTCTAGCAGTCAAGAACGCAAATGCAAGTAGGTATGATTGATTTTCGACTATTACAAAAACTGGACTGGAAAAGCGCCATCATCATCATCATCATCATCAGCCTATTAATGTCCCCACTGCTGGGGCACAGGCCTTCCCTATGGATGGAATAGGAAGATTGGACTATGACCCACCATACGGGCCCAATGCGGATTGGCGGGTGCTAACGACTGCAGATGCAGCCGGGACCAACGGCTTAACGTGCCTTCCGAAGCACGGAGGAACTCGAGATAGAAAATATTTGGCCACCCATCTAATGACCGACCACTGCGAAAGTTGCTTATCTTCAACGATCGCAGCTGAACGCGCTAACCACCTGCGCCATTGAGCTCTTCCATCCAATCCATAAAAGCTTTTCCAGATTAATTTTGGATTTTGCTAACTTCTTAAAAAAGAATCTGGAAGATTAGATTTGGTAAAATTTATTGTTTTTTTTATTGCAAAACGAACTTGATTCGTATATACTTATGATGAGTAATTACTTAAAATTTATAATCACTGACCGAATTCCTTATCCGTCAGTGAAACGAATTTATTATTATTACCCAGATACTCCTGAAACATATTGTCGTGTCTGATTGTGTTTTACTTATTGGCTTTAAATCTTTCAAATAACATGGAAAAATATTATTATTATTTAAAAGATTTGAAACGCAGACGACGACGATAAATAGACTAGCAAAAAAACCTATGACAGATAGGGTATAGCGGATTTCCCGCTGGAATTGGAGCGCATGGCTGGGGAACCACCTAACAGAAGATCACAATAAAATAACTACCTATTGGTGGTGTTGTATTACTGTAGGTAAGTAAGGTTTTTGGGCTCTACGAGGTAGGGGAATGGGTCAGGGTAGGCAACGGTGTGAGTGATTTTTTAGGTATCGCAAGCAATCGCAAGCGTCTATACGCTATCTATGGTGGCCGCTTACCATCAAGTTGGCCATACGCTTATTTGCTACCAGACCCGTCTTTCCCAGTCCCAGGGCCCCACGATCGATAGGGGGGCCCCTCAGATAAAATGCATAGTCCCTAGTTCCTGTTAAATCACCAAACGGAAGTCATAGCCATTATCCTAATATGCCCAGGGCCTCCAATAGGTCAAAGACGGCACTGTTTGCTACCCTTTAAAACAAACTCTTGTCATGTTCACCAGGCTGCACTTTTGATGCTCAGCCAAGCCAACGTTACAACTTACATTATGATTGTCATGAAGTAATTATTTAGTCCACATGTACGTTTAAGAAAAAAAAACGGTTGTCTGTAAAGGCGGTTTACTGACGATAGTTAAACGTGACAACGTTTTTTTACAATGTACATAGTCTTTACAATTATCAATGTGCTTTGAGCAATTGTTTTACAACTTTAATTTACAGCTTTTAAACATGTGTGATATCATATACCTTTATTGCCGCAATTATCGTTGCTATAAACAATTGACACCACATTCACTTTTCACTGCACTTCATACTTGACGAAAACATGTAAATATATTATTGTACAGCAGCTGTCCACGCGGACGCATCGCTCACTCAAGTAGGACAGAGACAGATGTCGAACGCTGCCGAACGCGGAGGCCGATTGTGCCTCTTTGTCGCTCGTTGCGCGCTCTCGCTTGCACTTCAAGCCTAAATGGAACGCCTCAGAGCGAGGTAACGCCGTACGAGTCATGTTTTTTCGTGCTTGCAGCCGGCTCCATCGAATTATAAGACGTTGTCACGTCAAAAACGTACAAAAACGTTTACTGCGCAAGTTTGTCTGTGGGTTTCAATGATCTTCTATTTGGTTTTTCTCAAACAATTTGCCGCTACCTATACGCAGCTTAATCACTACTTCCGAGATCCGTCTTTCGGCATGTGGAATTTGTGCTGTTTACATAAATTTAGAGGATATTTGTTTCTCATTTTGTCGTCACATAATGGTTGGAAATGGAACGTGTCGGTCGGTCGGTTGGTCCCGGTCCAAATCGCGTTGCTGTCGTGTTAATTAATTCTAATTGTCGACAACAATTAATAATAATGTGCGTCGTAAATGGTGTTTTTATTGCGGACCTCGTACCCGCCGTTTCCTGATTTTATAGTTTTTGGTCGTTAAATAATACAAATTAAGTGATTGACGTACAGATTATTTACATGAAAGAATTGAAAAGATTTATTTTTCTATTTAAATTTTCTTTGTTTGTTAAATGCTTCAAATAAAAATAAAGTAAATTACTATGATGTTTTATAGTTATAGAAACGTCATACACGCTTCTAGTTTGGCAATACGAAAGTCAGGGAATTGCCCGACTTGCATTCAGTCGGGCACGCTTTCTCGCCGCGGCTACACTTCGGTACAACGTGTAAATATTTTACCGTTTTTCCAGACAAAAAGCCCTATACTTATTTTATATTTTTAGATAGTACACAAAATACTCTGGAACTATTAGAGACAAGAAAAACGTGTCATTTTATTCATAAGTACAGTTTTAGTGATATTAATGTAAAAATATTTAGTGATAACTTATTTTGACAATTGCTGACACCGTTGACACGTGGTGGCTAAAGAGCGAGACGCAATTGTTTTATGAATGAGAGTGAAAGAGACTACTTTAGTGCGCTCTATTGGCGGCTGGAGGAACTCGATGGTGCAGGTGGATAGCGCGTTCGGCTGCTATCGTTGAAGTTAAGCAACTTTCGCAGTGGTCATTGGATGGGTGACCAAAAATCTTTTCGAGTTCCTCCGTGCTTCGGAAGGCACGTTAAGCCGTTGGTCCCGGCTGCATCTGCAGTCGTTAGCACCCGCCCCCTCCCTCCTGTTCCATTCATAGGGAAGGCCTGGGCCCCAGCAGTGGGGACATTAAAAGGCTGATAATGATTGGCGGCTGTTGCCAAGGGAAGGTGGCGCGGGGAATACGCGGCGAATAAAATGGCACACATTTTAAAATGCAATAATGTTGGTGTATGACCTGTCTATATATTATAAGTCATTGGCAAATTACAATACTTTTATTGAATATGTAAAAATACTGATAGCGCAGTTAAATCCTGTTTAAAAGTGTTATCTTTATTAAATATAAAAAGATCTTTTTTTATGGAAGCAGGCCACGGAGCGAACATCTGAGGAAGTTTTTTGCTCCTTACCTACACAAAAATTCAGCAGAATAACATTATTGGGACTTCCCAATAATCTTATCTGGCTGAAGTTTTGTGGACTCCAATGGCGCATTGATTAATGCGTTTATCGCGGTTTGTCATAAGTTCCGACTCCGTGCTTCGGAAGGCGCGTTGAGCCGTTGGTCCCGGCTGCATCTGTAGTCGTTAGCACTTACCAATCCGACGTAGCTCGTTCTCCCTATTCCAATACTGTTTTTGTGAAAAGTCCTTTCAACAGGTAGAATTTGCAATGTTTTCAATATTTTCATGTGTCATAAAACTCGATGCCATTTTTTTTGTTTTGATTTATGCTCCACGCGTGGTACGATAAAGAACTATATTCTTCAATTTGCCGCGGCATTTTGTAAACGCTGATTGGATTGTCTATCAAATGTGGCGAAACATTTTATAAAGTGATAAGACAATTCACATTTTGCCTTCGGCATATTTTAAAACAGCGAGCATTTAAAAACGGGCGACGCCTTTTGTAAAACGCGGAATCATACATGCGACATATACGCCGGGTTTAAAGGTGTCTTCTACGCGTAAGGTTCCGGGTTCAAATCCCGGAGAAGGCAAATGTTAGTATGATGAATACGAGCATTTGTACCTTAGCCATGGATGTTCAAATAATTATATTTCTTTACAAATATACTTATTTAAGTGTCAAATATATTATGTATTCTATTTGTTACCCTTGTATAGCATAACACAAGCCTTACAGTGCTTACTTTGGGGCTAGGATGAATGTAGGAAATAT